ATACATATAGATGCTAATTATTGTTTATGAATTGATTTTTTGTCATCTACTTTTTACTAGTTTTTAAATTGTTTTTTAGCTCATAACTCATTTATAAATGAATAGAGCTTGCTTGTTTATATATATATTTTTTTTTCCAAAAAATCCAATCCAAACACAAATATAACTAAACTTAAACTCAACCATCACTATCCTAATTATTATCAATATAATATAATTAAATAATACCGATTAATTTATCCTTACAAATCAATATCAACTTTAATTCAATATTTATCAGTTCACATAATTTTAACTACCTATCAGTTTCAATCACTTTCCCCTACTTTTATATCAAATAAATTTTAATCATTTTTAAGTAATATTTTAATATAAATTCAAAATCCTACTTGACCGCGCGTCGCAACGCGGCAAAATTAATATTTATATTTTTCCTTAACCGACTTCTACCAACTAGTAGTATCAGTGAGTAAGGGTCGAACCCAAGGGAGTGTGAATCGTAGTTGTAATTATTTTCTTTAATTGAAACTAATAAAAGCGATAAAAGAGGGGGATTTTGATGTGAGAAAATTAACTACGAAAATAAGAATAACAAAATAAAATCAAGTGCAGCAACAAGAATAATTTATCAAAGGATGGGGAAAACTTCTAGTTCACGGTTCCGTCTACACCCTTGACCGACTCGTCTAATTAATTCTGGTATCAAATCTCGTTATCTATGGAATTATTAGCCCTAGGTAACGCTACGGGCTGTTACCCGAATTTTTCCTTATTTTTAATTTAACCGCGAGACGCTCTACGATTAAATCTGACCTCTTGAACAGTCTAGGAAACGCTTCCTAAATTTAATTCAATTAGCCGCTTTACGATTTAGAAAAATAGGCTAGACTAAGTAGAGAAATTTTCATTCACTTATTTAGGTTGTGTTATCCCCGGTAGTTACCATCTTCCGGTAGCCTCTAATTGATTAAACATATCAACAATTACGGATTGACAGTTGAATCTAGCAGTAGATGTGAAAAGCCTAGTCTAGGTGATCAAACTAAACAAGACTCAACAAATCAGGGTTAATTATTCAAAATAACACAAACAATTCCAAAAGATAATGAAATTATCAACTAGAAAATTAATCAAACATTCATCGAGTCTTAGGGTTCAACTTCCCCGGAACTAGAATAAAACTAGCCTAACATAATAAATAATGAAAAGGAAAAAAATAATTAAAAGAGAAAGATTAATTATCTCCCTCGTGTACGGGTGCGGCTTCCCTCCGCGATTGATCGGGTTCCTCGCGTTTAGTCTCTCTGCTCTCGCGTGAATATTTCTTCCTAGGTATATGGCGGCTGCGTGTAAGCGTATCTTTTTTCTTCTCTGATCAGTGGCGGCTCCCCAGGTTTTGCGTGTGTCTGCCTTTTCTATGTTCTCTGAGTAAAATAAATATACCCCAATGTGGAGTGCTTTCTTTCCAATCACAAACAATTCCTTCCCAGCAATTAATTTCCGTGAGTTGGGTTTTAAAATATTGAAACTCTTCCAAGACTTAGCCCAAATACGTGACCCATCTCGTCCACTTAAATAAATTCAGCCCAAATTAATTAACTGCAGCAGGAGTACTGGGGGCTGGAGCGAAATACTGGATA